AATGGATTCTTTGAAGTAAATCTTCTTAAGTATTAACTTCAGTCGAATAAACTAGGTCTTTTAAGACCCCCAAAAATAGAAATCCAATGAATTTAAGTCAGGTGAACGTGGCGGCTATGTTATAAGACCTCTTCGGCCTTACCACCTGTCTGGAAAATTGACATTCAACCAATTTCGAACATTGCGTCCAAAATGTGTAGAGGCGCCATCATGTTGATAAAACATATTTTCTGGAAATTGCTGGCGCACATCCAATGGTATTATATCCATAAGCTCATTCTGAAGAAAGTTCAGATACACCTCTAAATTAAGAAGATTGGGAAGTACAATAGGCCCAATTACTTGATCCCCAATTATTCCTGCCCATAAGTTCAATGAAAATCTATGTTGGAAAATTGTACGTCGAACAACTTTTGGATTTTCATCTGACCAGTGATGCATGCTATGGAAATTAAACACCATTCCTAGTAAATATTGACTCATCCGACCATAATATTCTAGGAATATATTTTCATTTGCTAATATCCACTGGCAAAACTCGTTTCATAGTAAAAAATCTGCCTCCGTTAAATGCTGCATCCGTTTAAAATGATAAGGATGTAATACTTGCATTCTTGTCTTTCTTCCTATCTAAAATTATTATTTTTAGAATAACTATCAAATAGGTATATGGGACACCTTGTATACCTTTCGCCACATGAATAAAATTCTTTCGGCTTATAGTAGTGTTTATAACCGATCGCATTGTTATGGTTAGATGTCAGCTTGATTTCGTGTGTCATTTTATTCGTTCACCATATTTGTTTCTTCAGGTTGCACCCATATCCGGATGTATAAGCATGTGTATTTGCTTTTGTAATTACATATGTACATTCATATCGGGCCTGATAAAGCCAACAAGCAAAAATACGTATCACTCGGGTTAAATAATCTATTTTTTGCTCGAATCTTCTTTCTTTATTTCCTTTTTTATTTATTATATATATATATATATATATATATATATATATATATAACACAAAAAAATGGACAAAATCTGCAAAACAAAAATACCTATTGAAGAATAAAGTGGATTCGAGCAGATAATCAGATAGGTGACTCAAGAGATATATATTTTTGTTTATTAGCTTCTTCAAACCCGAAATAAATGCACCTCTGCATACAGATATAACCTGATGAATCAAAGTTGCAAAGAAAAAAAAAGACACACAACATTCACAACAAAAACTAACCTACACTTTGTAGTATAAAATAGCTAAAAAACCTCGAATTTTCAAAGCGACATCTAACCACAATCATGCAGCCAATTATAACCACCTATTATGGTGCTCCAAGCCTAAAGGATCTACAAAGAGAAAATAATCATGTAGAGAAAGATATATAACAAATAAAAAGAAAGCGCGTTCGAACAGAAAATAGGATAAGTAACCTAAGTGATACATATTTTTGCATGTTGGCTTTATCAAGCTTGAAATGAATACACATATACAAGTATTAAAAGTAAATACCACAGCAGGTGGTTACAACCAGTCGCGTAATTGTGGTTAAATGGTGCCTTGAAAATAGGAAGTTCTTCAGCCATTTTATACTACAATGTGTAGGTTAACTTTTGTTGTGGACTTTGTATGTTATTTTTTCCTCTCCATCTTCATTTCCTTAAATTATACCTGCATGCGGATGTATAGGTACATGTATCTACTTTTTTTGTTGCATATATGCATTCATTTCGGGCCTAATGAAGCCAACAAGCAGAAATACATATTACTTGGGTTATGCTTGACTCAACTACTGCTTTCGGGAAAGTGACAAATTCGCTTAGAAACGGAAAGCGAGACAACTCCCGCACATCTACGGTCCTGAGAGCATAGTCTTCAGGACAGAGGACAAAATCGAGGTTTTCGGTGATGCTGTACAATGACAATTCTCTCCCTACTATGATCGTCATAATGATCTCGTCGAGGAGCAACAAATTGTAAGATCCGTCAGGAGATATTTTAAAGCCAACGACGTCAGTGATCCCGACGCCGCCATTAATGATTCTTCCTCGGAAGATTCTTTTTCGGAAAATTCTTCAGCTGAAGAATTGCACATCACATCAGCGGCTTCTCCCGAGATTCCTCATTACACACTAGCAGAGCTTCAAGGTCATATTTAAGACCTCAAAGTGCATAAAACGCCTGGGGAGGATCAAATCACTAATAAGGCGCTGAAGCTGGTTTTACAGATGTCTTTGACTTATCTCGTGGCTATTATCAATACCATGCTAAGGACCCACTACTTTCCATCGGCGTAGAAGACTACTGAAGTTATAATAATGCCAAAGTAGCTGGGTTCGATATTTTCAAAGGACTATCAACCCATTAGCCTGCTGTCTGCTCCGTCTAAGCTCTCTGAAAAGGTAGTTGTAATTCCTGACTTGCAATTTAGACATCAGTCTGAGCATAGTACAAAGTTACAAGCGGTTAGGTTTATGGAGCGAACAACCAAGTGCTTTACTTTTACCGAACGTACTAGCATCTTGCTTCTGGATGTCTCGAAGGTATTTGATAAGATATGGCACAAGGCCCTTCTCTATAAACTAATTCAAAAGAGCTTTCCATTTTAACTCCTAAAACTTTTGAAATTCTTCCTTGAAGGTAGGAAATTTCGGATAGAAATTAATAATTTCTTGTCGACAATACGGAACATCAGAGCCGGTACCCTCAGGGTTCAGTTGTATGGCCAATCTTTTACCCACTTTTTACGCATAATGTCCCTTGCCCTAACGACTGTAAAGTCTATCTATATGCTGATGACACTGCACTAATGGCCCAGTCGCGTACCGGAAATGTGGTTCACGACAGGTTACAAATTGCGGTGGATATTAGAATGGGCAGATCGGTGGATAATTAATTACTTGAAAACGCACGCTATCGTACTAAAAACCGTAGCGGCGCCTCGCCTGAGGTTTCAATGAATGGAGCCTGCTTACCATGAGGAAATTCTGCTAAATATCTCGGTGTCACTCTTGACAGAGAAATGACCTGACAGAATCACATTGAAGCGTTAAAAACTAAATTCCAAATTCCATTTCAGCACCTTTACCTTTTACTATGTAGAACCTCAAATTTAAGTTTGGTTAACAAAGTTTGGCTATATAAGATTATCATCAGACCATCAATCACTTACTCATGTGCAGCATGGTGTTTTCTTGCCAAAACGCACATGCGTAATCTGCAGGTTTTGCAGAACAGAACCTTACGAACCATCACTAACGCACCATGGTATATCTCCAACGACACCCTTCACACAGACCTCAACATCCCTTACCTAAGGGACTACATCAAACATCAGGCGCAATTACGTTATACTCAGACAGAATCACACAGCAACCCTCTGTTGCGTGAGTCAGTAGACTATACAATCAAGCAAGTTCACAAGCATACAAGACCGCAGCTCGCACTATGAGCAAAATCAAATCGTGCAATTTTAGACAACTTCCTAAATCAATTTTTGGATTAATTTAAAATAACCGAATACCAGTTAAGAATAGCAAGGCGTCCCTTAAACCGGCGCACTTCATCCTCTTTGCCTTCTCCCTTCCTTCCTTTCTTTCTTCTTCCTTTCTTTCTTCCTGACTTCGTATGGTATCTGGACAATCAGATCTGATACACCTACTGACTCACGATACTTTAACAAAGAACAAAGGTCCTTCGGACCGCTCTGACGGACAATGACGAATAAAGGTTGAATTTTATTGTAAACTTCGTATATCATTTTTTTCCCTTTCAATCTTTGTTTCCTCAGATTGCACCTAAATCTAGATGTATGGGCATATGTATTCACTTTTTAAATTGCATATGTGTATTCCTTTCGGGTTTAATGAAGCCAGCAAACGGAAATACGTATCATTCGGGTTACCTATCATATTTTATAATCTAATCTGCTTTTCTTCTTTTTGCGGATTTTACCCATTATTTTTTCTATTTGATATATACCTTTCTCCGCATAATTCTTTTCTCTTTTTAGATTTTTAGGACTTAAAATACCTCAGTAGGTAATTATAACCAATCACGTGGTTGTGATGACAGCTCGCATTGAAAAGTCAAGCTTTTCTAGCCATTTTATACTACATTGTATACGTTGGCTCTTGTTGTGGACTTTATATATCATTTTTCCCCTATCCATCTTCGTTTCTTTAGGTTACACTCGCATCTGGATAATAAATATAGTAGTAGTCACCGTTGGTAATGGGTCAAAGTAAGAGTATCAATACCTCTTTATATATTCCCTATCTCCTTCATACATACACATGCAACTTTCTCCTGTATGTGAACATTTGTTCGATACACTCACAGACATACATTTTTTAATTTTGTGTCTCCGTCTCGAAAACTTTATAGTTATATATGCATATGCCCTTCAACCTATTTGACATCGATGTACAATTCAAGTTATCCTGTTATCAGTCTTCAATATAAAATTGTACAATGCCCGGAAATACGATCAATGGAGAAAACCGACAACTCATGCTAATTTATTATAATGTTTCCATGAAAAAATAAAAAAACACTCTCCTGTTACCCACTTCATATATATATATACATATATATCAATAAAACGCAAATAGCCATCTGTCACACTAAAATCGACCATTGCGAAGAGCGAAGTAGTCAATTATGTGTAATAGATAGCACACTCTTAATTCAATACACCATACGTTCGAAATAAAGAACAGTCACAATGTTTCATTCATTATCCAGAAAGAAAAAACTATACCTAGGCCATGCTAATGTGTAGCCAAAAAGCACGAAACTACTATCCATCATTTTCTGGATTTTGTTCGACTGGACGAAAACATTATGTTTATTATATTTGTAATTTTATTTTATTTCAGTATTGTTCCTGTAGCAATCACGCCACAAAGGACATGTACTAATAGTTCAGAGATTGTTAACCATCCAACAAATATATGGGCATTGTCACAACAAGACATTGAAGAAACTACCTCTTTGCTAACAATGAGTACTTCCACAAGGATGGAAATTGATATCCCATTACAACACATTGAACCGATAGAAACGTCATCCTTACCAACTTTAAACCAACAACAGAGTGATGACAATATCACTATGACAATGGGACACGATGAACTTAATGACATATTAGCTAACCTTAATATAGACAATTTACTAGAAAATACCAATAATATAATAACCGAAAATGTAACTGAAACTATTCATCGAAGAGGGAATCATTACATGGCGGCAACTAATCATTACACAGGTCTATATACATTGGGAACTTTCACTTTTACCTGTTCTCACTGTAGAGCCTTACATTTTTTATGTGAAAAAATTCCAGAAATGTTTATTCAAATTGTTGTAAGGATGGTGCAGTACATCTGCCTCATTTGATTCATATCCTGAACAATTAAGAGTACTATTTCAAGATCGAGAATTTATGGAAAACGTGCGTTATTATAACAATAGTTTCGCATTCGCCAGCCTAGCTACCAATACTATAAATCCGCCTGGTCGAGGACCTTATGTATTCAAGGTAAACAGTAAAAATAACATTATGTATGGATCAAAAATAAAATTCCACAATGTAACCTGACAAATCATATCTCAGATCGAATTCATTTTTTTTTTCTAAGCAGTACCTATGGAAGTGACTTTATAAATTTTAAAGTCTTACAATGAACACTTTACTCTGGAACGGCACTCAAATATAAATTTTTGACCAAAATGTAAATGTAGTATGTTAACAATTTTTCTTTTTTTTCTACTCCTTCCTGTCAATTCAAAGCAATATGTACAATAATATATAATCATCTAAATAGAATTATCCAACGAAGTCCAATATTACCTTCAAATTGCAATATAATTTATTCGACAAATAGTTTAAATAATTCTTCTAGAAATTTTTTACTGATTTATTATTAGCTAGACATTTAAAATAGCTTACAACATTAAACATTTACAAAATTAGTATAAACCTTAATTCTAAAAATTCTGAGCTATATCGGGTTCAATTTTATTACTCTATGGAACATGATTCTTTTTGAAAGTTTACGCTCTTAGGTCAAACGATTCACTTTGGACACACGTTTACAATCTCAAAACAGGTTTAGCAAGAAATTGAAGAATTGACAAAGTATTAAAATTTATATTTTGATTTACAACGCATATCGTTACCCTAATTGTAATACCACGTATTATCTATTTTGTCGTTTACAGAAAATGAATAAAAACTGTTTTACGGCGGCCGTATATAATTATTCTTATAAATTATGTAACGTCTTTCTACTTTACGGTTAAAATATACTTAGTTATCATTTTTAAAGATTCCATATTTTTTGTGAAAAATATGTTGATGCATGTTATTGCACTTAACTGTTTGATGATGATACTTAGTGTTTAGGTTTATTATAATGAAAAATAGATGTTCATTATTCAACAATATACCAACAGGGCTTTATTGAAACATTGTTGTTGAACAATATTTAAATGAAACTAATACAGAGATTCAAAGGAAACAGTAAAAAAAGATGACAAGGATGTTTGTCTTCCTACTCATAAGCAGGTTCTCATAGAAACTGTGTACTCATCTGCTAGAGTAGATTTCAGATCTTGCAAATGGTCATATTTCTTGTTTGATATTTTAATCCATCTATATAACGTCTTTGGTGGTGTATCATACATGACTTCTTTAAAATTCCTTGAGGTAGGTCGGTGAGCTCATCTTAAAACTGCAGATTAATTTGAATTTTGCCTTTTGATTGATAGTGGATCTCTCTTAAATTAGTTACTGTTTGGGTCATGTGCTTTTTTTCCTGGACTGATACTATGATATACCATTTGGTCTTTAATATCATAATTTCTGAAATCCGTATGGTTCATGTATTTAACTTCGTACGGTTCTGGTTTTAATCGCGCTTCTCTGTTACTTTCACGTAGTCCGTGGGTAGTTCAATTTCCCGATTATGAAACTTCACATATTTCCTTCTGGTTTCTCTCTTTTCCATCAAACTTGCTACATATATCTATCTGTTTTTGCTCCAAGACATATCAGTCCAAAATTTTTTAAAAATCGACAAGCGCTCTTCATGAGTTATAATATTACAGTGTCTCTTTTTGTATTTCAAGCACTTCATGGAGGAGCAAGCTGGACCTAAGCTTCTGCATTGCGTTTTCGCTATGTGTAGTATTTGACCAGTTTTACTTCGACTATATCCTAGATAATCCTTGCCTTCCATTCCGTTACGTTTTGTCTTTTCCCTAGCCCAATGAATATTTTCAGGTTTCCTTTTTCTCTTGAATTTCTTCTGTCGTTCAAGTTCTTGTCCATCGGTACAATTTTCGTCTTCAGTATCAATAAAGTCTGAATCAAATTCGTCAAGTTCATTTTCTTTTTCCATTCATACTCCCGATCAGCATCCTTTGAGACAGACTGGTCTTGTCTTCTAGCTGCTGCATTCATTTCTCCATATAAAAGTTCACTTGATGTTTGCAGGTTTTTGAAACAGATTGGGAGCTATATCAGCATAACGTAGTTGGGAACGTTGTTCTCGCCTGAAGCTGCAATTGGAAAAACTGTACTTCCGTCCGCATGCTTAGATGGTGACACATGTTCAGCATTATGTACCAATGCGTCTATGATATCTACATTCATATCATTGTAACTCAACGTTAGTGGGAGAACAGAGTCAATTTCAGAAATTCCTTTCGAAATCCATCATTAGTCATATTTTCAATAATAACATCTTCATTGTAAAAATGATTGAATGTGTAAGCGCTTCTTCTAAAACCTGGCTGTTTTTATTCGTTTCCAAAGCAGCGGCCAGAATCCTTTTACTTCTGCTTGACATCTATAATGGAACAAAGCTATAAGATACTAACGGCTGGATGAGGTTCCTATAAATTCCGAAAAGTTGTATTTAATTTAGAACTATACATCTTGGCAATTTACTTGAACTTGAAGTAAGCATTTTGGCAACAGCGCTTTCAAATATAATTTTATAAATTAGGAAATACGAAGCAAGGACATTTTAATGTTTCGTCGATTCTTTCGCTAAATGCTTGGAATAGTAATAAACAATAACTCGTATCATCCAACTACAAAAAGAATTACAATGGGACATAATTTGAGATAACACACGTATCATCAAGTTGAATAAAAACGGCTTGTTTATTCAAAGTATTGCTTAATTACTCAAACAAGACTAATAAATGACATGTTCAGTATATTAACGCTAATATATACTACTCTAATTATGATAATTATCAACGTACGTTTGCTAAAATCAGCTTATTCCTCTAACTTGTCGCAGCGTGATGCGCACTTCGTAAGGACCACGTCTAAACTGCTGTTCATACGAGGTATTTTTTCAGCTAACTTTGTGGATGATGTTACGCGGTATTCTTTGAAATGAAATAGCTCGTTTCTTATTGGTTAAACTGATACGTGGTTTTTATAGACGGTGTGCAATACTGCTTACTTTTTATTTATGCTAGAATCTCAATTTCAGCAAATTTGATGATACGTGATATTACAATTAGGATAACGATATCTAAATCGGATCATTCAACCTAGAATCTTAATATTTTACAAAACCTCATACTTCTATAGGTACTTTCCAGGAAAAAATAAGCTTGATCTGAAATATAACCCACCAACCAAGTCGTGGAATTTTAGTTTATCATATATATATATATATATTTTGATGATATAAATATTTTGAAACTTTCCATACAATGTGTATTGAAAAAAGAAACATACAGTGTAGCATAACATACACTATAGATCAAATTTTGTGAATTGACCTAAATATATCTTAATCCTAAAGTTGATAGTTTGTGAGATGCAGGGCATCAAAGTTACAATTTTATTTCTATTTTTCCTTTTGCTTGAGAAGTATTTTAGATTTTGACATAAAACTCGGTATAGGGAGGTTTTCTAGTATAAGAAACAAAAATTCAATATTGTTCTTGGGCAAAGTTATACAGAGCGACAGTTGTAGTACTATTTCGTCAATAACTTATCATAACTTTTTGCTACTCTGTATACAACTAAACAAAAAATCTTATTTTTCCGTATTTTCACAACAAAAAAGACTTGTTTGAAATGTCTAAAGCTAATAGTTTTCGAGATATTTGTTTTTTAAAGTTCCATTGTATTGTTTATACCATGATGATACATCATTTTTATAACATAATAGTCAAATTGTTTATACAATATGTGAGTAGCATTGCTATGATTTTTAACAATAATAAATGAAGATGGCAACAAAACTACTAAACGAAAATAATAACTACAAAAGTTGTTCAAAATGAGCACTACCTTATCTAACACACTTTCAAATTCGACAAACTAATCCTTGCTACATTCTCCAAACGTCGATACTATTTTTCATTTCCTAACTATGGTAGAACATTTTTGTTGAAGATCATCTACAATTTCCACTAACGTATTGTAAATGCGTCGTTTTAAATAACCCTAGAAGAACATTTCTTCTATATAAATTAATTTGAAATTGTACTTTTTGGCAAGTTTATATTATTTCATGAGGATATATTGCATACATGTAAAGATTTTGCGAGTTAAGAGCTATGTACAAATTTCTATCCTTGCGGTTTCTTCATCCGCTCTTAAACCATATACTTTTGCAAGTGGTATGTATGGAACATTTGGAAACTTGATATTCTCGAACTACATTCCCAACCTCAACTGTACAATTTTCAAAGACAACATCTAAAACATTTTCTTCAATTTCAGCTGTACGTACAATTTTGAGAGCTCCAGTATGTTGGCCCATACTTCGAGCAAATTTAACTAAAATGCAAATGGTATTTACTACTCAAAATAAGACTATAATCATTTCTTATCAGTTTCTCGTAACCACTGATCGTTTCGTTGGAATATCTTTGAATTAGGCAAGTGACTATTAGAGAATCTGTCAGCGTACAATCTTCGTGCTTTTAAACCACTACATTTTACTAATCCATATATTAAATTCTCATCAGAATATTCATCAAACCTATATTCCATGATGGTAAACGTTTTATTGTCAACTTAAAATTATTCATAGACCTTAAAATAATCTTATGCCGAACATTAGAAACCATAGCAACGCTACCCAGATATTATCTAAAGCAACTTTATTATTATGTTGTAAAAATAATTTATCATCATAATACAAATAATGCATTGGTATTTTTAAAAATTACTTTTTACACTTTTCACTTTACACTTCTAACTGTTGTTAAAATAGCACAAAAAAGTTATGATGATTTATTTACCGAAATAGTACTGTATGTGGCGCCTCAAAAGTTTGGCCATAAAAAATAACGAATTCTTGTTTCTTATAGTAGAAGACCTCCCTATACCGTGTTTTATGGCAACATCTGAAATACTTCTCAAACATTAAGGAAAAATAGAAAATAAAATTGTAACTTTGACATCCTGTATCTTGCAAACTATCAACTTTTAGATTGAGATATGTTTAAGTCAATTCACACATTTTGGTCTGTAACATATCCAGTTTCGAGATTTCCCACCTTTCCCAGTATATATTTCATATCTTACTTGTATCTTTTTTACAATACTATTTATTTTATTCATATACAAAGAACAGTTATATATTAGACACCAATTATTTCATTTTTTAAACCACTTATAATATTAATAAATTCGTTATCCCTTCCATAATGAATTTATTTTTCTTTACAGGTACAGGGAGAAATAAGACATTATATATCAAATGTTTCAAACAAATATTTCTAATGAACGCAGACAATACGGCAATCTATATTTTTTGGATACCGAACTGGCAAATCAGCTTCGGTCTGCTGGCCCACAAAATCGAACGGAATTAAATCGAGAAACCGTCGATGTTATTTCTAATTACATGCACAGCCACAATCCTTTTGCTCAAGCGTATAGATTTCTTAAAGATGTCTATCAGGAACAACAACATAACAATCGTCAACTAACTTTAGAATTGTACATCAATAACAACCGTGCTCGGGATATTAATTTTAGACAATATGGCGCAGTACAAGCGAATGAAATAGCAGCCGTATTTATTTCTGAAGATGGAAGACCGCCCCTGGATCGTTGCTTACATGTTTATTGTCGAGACAACGATCAAATCATCCACGAATTACCATATCTTAGTGTTAACTGCGACGCAATGACATATCCCCTATTACATCCAAGAGGTGAGCCAGGCTGGCAATCTGGAACAGCGCATCAACGTAGAAGAGGTGATGTATCTTTACTGGAATACTACAGTTTTAGAATAGCTGTTCGACCAGATACTTTCAACCAATTTGTAATGGCAGGCAAGCTGACGCAACAGTACATCGTAGATGCATACGTAAAAATAGAACAGAGTCGATTACAATTTATTACTGAAAACCAACCACGCATCAGGCAAGAAATATTCCAAGGACTAATCGACTATTTAGACTCTAGACAACTTGATGTTCACTATCAACCAGGCAATATTTTCATCCTACCGTCAACATTCATAGGAAGCCCACGCGCATTTAGACAAAATTATTTGGATGCCATGTCTATAGTCACAAAACATGGGAAACCAGATATTTTCCTAACATTTACTTGCAATCCTGTTTGGCCTGAAATTAGGAATAACCTAGATACAAACCAACATTCCTCAAATAGGCCCGATTTTGTTTCGAGGGTGTTTAAGAGCAAATTGAAGGAATTAATAGAAGATATTGATAAACGACATGTCATGGGAATTTGCGTTGCTACGTTTACGTGATAGAATTTCAGAAAAGAGGCCTTCCTCATGCGCATATGTTGATTTGGTTGGAAGGATCAGATAAAATCTTGGACTCTGCAGCAATCGACCGTTTAATTTCAGCAGAATTTCCCGACCCTATCACGCATCCCAACTTGCACGAATTGGTCAAAGTACATATGCTTCATGGACCTTGTACTGCTGCTCGATGCTTAGATGACGAAGGACAGTGCAGCAAACAATTCCCGAAATCTTTGCGTGAAGATACATTATACAATTCCTCTGGATATCCGCTATATAAAAGACGGCCAATAGAAGTACCTATACACATAGGTAGAAGAACAGTAGATAACGGTTGGGTTGTACCATACAATGCTTATCTACTTGAAAATACGAAGCTCATATTAACGTAGAGGCTTGTTCTTCAATAAAAAGCGTGAAATATTTATTTAAATATATATATAAAGGATTTGATAGAGCTCAAATTGTCGTGCGAACTGTAGAGGAACAAGACGGTCAAACAACAACTATTCAGGACCTATATACAACGAAATTCAAACGTTCATGGACGTTCGCTATGTTAGCGCACCTGAGGCAATGTGGAGAATTTATACATTCGAAATGCACGATATGTCTCATGCTATCATCAAACTTACTGTACATCTTCCCAATATGCAACAAGTCTATTTTAATACAAATAGTACCATCCCTGACGTTGTAGAAAGAGCCGCAACACAACACACTACGCTAACAGGATGGTTCGCTTTGAATGTACAAGACGAAGAAGCTAGGCAATACACTTACGTACAAATACCTTATAAGTATGTGTGGAAAATAAGTCAAACAAGACATTGGGTAAAACGTCAACGAAATTTGATCGTTTAATTCCTAGGTTATATTTTGTTCATCCTAGAGAAGGTGAACGATTTTATCTTCGTCAACTTCTTTTGCATAAAACAGGATGTAGATCATTCGAAGACCTTCGAACTGTACATGGCCGTACGTACGAAACGTTCCGTGACGCTGCTATTGCGATGAACCTTCTCACGGACGATAGCATTTGGTTTTCTACTTTGCAAGAGGCTATACGCGTAGAAATTCCACGAGCTCTTCGCCGTATGTTTTCACAAATGTTACTTTTTTGTGAAATCGAAAATCCGTTAGCATTATGGGAACAATTTAAATATCATTTATCCGAAGATTATATACGACGCTTAAATAATAACGAACTAGCCTACAACTATGCTTTGGCTTACATCAATCGATATCTAACACTACAAGGTTAGTATTTCTATCAATAATTAGTTTTATTAATTCATTTAAAATTGATGCCTATGTTTTCAAATAACTTTTTATTTTACTTTACATTTTTTCCGTATTCGAAATTTTTAAATTTAATCATTTCTAGGTAACACTACCGTGCTAAAAAATATGAATTAATTCATTACGTCAATATCTTTAACACTATTAATTTAACATAACATAATACATTTTTTTATTTCAATCGATCTTATACCTATATTACATTATTTTAAAATAATATTAATGTGATAAGTAATTTCCCAGTATAATTATATAATATTTGTTCAATCACATACATTTTTATTTTTAGGCAAATCAAATAGAGACTTTCAACTACCCTTACCCACTGAACCAGTAGAACACCTAATCGAAGATGAATACAATTATGACCAAGCAGACGAACAACAAATTGCTAATAGGAACATTCCTCTGTTAAACCAAGAACAACGCCTTATTTTTAACGACATACTTTTGGCCCTAAACGAAAACGAAAGGGTTCCACATCGTCTATTTTTTATTAACGGAATTGGAGGTGCAGGAAAAACATTTCTGTTGAATACACTACTGGCTTACTTACTAGGAAATAATCACCGTTATATTGCTATGTGTTATACTGGCATCGCAGCCAGCTTATTGAAAAATGGCCAAACGATTCATTCTTCTTTTATGTTACCGGTTCCATTTCTAGAAAATTCAACGTCGAGGATTCGCAATCAGAGTACGATTGCTGATAATATTAGATATTCAAAAATTATTGTCATTGATGAAATATCTATGGTACATAAAGTATATTCAATGAGATAGATAGAAAGACAAGAGAAATAATGAACAATGACATTCCATTTGGCGGCAAGATTATCATAATTCTAGGTGATTTCAGGCAATGCGCACCTATCGTTCCGTTGGCAGGCAAAAATGAAACTATTTCTGCATCAGTGAAATGTTCCCAACTATGGCAATACTTTGTTCAGTACGATCTTGTTACGAACGTTAGAGCATTGCCACAAGAAAACGAATTCAAAGATTGGCTGATGACCATAGGAAATAATTCCGAAATTTTACGTCGCTTAGAAAATAGCAGAGACACTATAGTTAAAATTCCTAATCGTATCATTGTAGAAGATGTTACTGAAAGCATATACGGTAGTAATTTAACTGAACACGATTTCACATTATTACAAAAAGCGATTTTGTCTCCACTAAACATTCATGTCAAGGATATCAATTCAGTTGTTTTAGAAAAACTGCCAGGTAGGTCACGGCAATACCTAAGTGTCGATAGTATTATCCGAGAAGACGATACAACCGAAAATGCTGCTGATGATTTAGATTCCGCATGGCCGCAAGACTTTTTAAATTCTTTGGATGCTCCAGGACTTCCTCCCCACATACTTACACTAAAGATTGGCGCAGTTATCATTTTAACGAAGAATTTAGATGTGAAGAGAGGCTTATGTAACGGCACACGTTTATTGATTCATAATTTACACGAAAATTTTATAGAAGCGAAACGAGTGGAAGAATCTAATAATGAACCTTCGATCGAATTTATTTCCAGAGTTGATAATATCGCTCTAAATTCTCTTGATCTACCAGTCAACTTGAAAAGGAGACAATTCCCTGTACGTCTGGCTTTTGCAATGACAATTAATAAAAGTCAAGGTCAAACTTTGAACAGTGTCGGCTTATTTTTACCAGTAACAGTATTTGATCACGGACAACTGTATGTTGCACTATCAAGAGCAAGAAGTTTTGAAACCTCAAGATTCAAATGATAAATATAGGTGACCGTCAACATGTAGCTGAAACTCCAAATAATCACTCTTACACTGTTAACGTAGTATATAATGAGCTATTGCAAAGCAGCATAATCCAGTAAAATGAAGAGAAATAATAAGAAATTCTTTCTTGGACAAATATACAATATGGAATGTAGATATATTTCAAAGACCATTGTACTCAAGCGCTACAAATGCAAATAACATAAGGAAATAGAAAAGGTTGATCTAACTATAAAGTACAACATAAATGGTAGTGGAGGAACCATAATTTCACAAGCAAAATCATGTTACCATATGCTATTCTGTGTATTCATACTTACTACAATACTAATGGGTCAAATAAGGACTTTTATGTAAGTTATACAAAATATTTTTCACAAATATTCTTCTGAACATCTTATTGTACATTTTAATCCCTTTTTTTAGATGAATCGTTAAAAAAATAAACTATGCAAGGAATATGAACGATGAACCTACAAGCTACAAACTACAATATTAATACTGAAAAAAGGATGCATAGTTTGCAACAACAGATGGAGATAGTCCGAGAAACTTTTCAATACAAACTGCAGATTAGACCATCAACAATCTTTCCATTTTTAGCTTTATTTTTCAGTTTATTTAAAATTATACAATATGGAATGTAGATATATTTCAAAGACCATTGTACTCAACCGCTACAGAAGCAAATAACATAAAGAAATAGAAAGGTTGATCTAACTATAAATTACAACATAAATGGTAGTGGAGGAACCATAATTTCACAAGCAAAATCATGTTACCATATACTATTCTGTTGTATACAATACTAATGGGTCAAATAAGGACTTTTATGTAAGTTATACAAAATATTTTTCACAAATATTCTTCTGAACATCTTATTGTACATTTTAATCCCTTTTTTTAGATGAATCGTTGAAAAAATAAACTATGCAAGGAATATGAACGATGAACCTACAAGCTACAAACTACAATATTAATACTGAAAAAAGGATGCATAGTTGCAACAACAGATTGAGATAGTCCAAGAAACTTTTCAATACAAACTGCAGATTACACCATCAACAATCTTTCCATTTTTAACTTTATTTTTCAGTTTATTTAAATTATACAATATGGAATGTAGATATATTTCAAGACCATTGTACTCAACCGCTACAGAAGCAAATAACATAAAGAAATAGAAAAGGTTGATCTAACTATAAATTACAACATAAATGGTAGTGGAGGAACCATAATTTCACAAGCAAAATCATGTTACCATATACTATTCTGTGTATACAATACTAATGGGTCAAATAAGGACTTTTATGTAAGTTATACAAATATTTTTCACAAAATTCTTCTGAACATCTTATTGTACATTTTAATCCCTTTTTTTAGATGAATCGTTGAAAAAATAAACTATGCAAGGAATATGAACGATGAACCTACAAGCTACAAACTTCAATATTAATACTGAAAAAGGATGCATAGTTTGCAACAACAGATGGAGATAGTCCAAGAAACTTTTCAATACAAACTGCAGATTACACCATCAACAATCTTTCCATTTTTAACTTTATTTTTCAGTTTATTTAAAATTATACAATATGGAATGTAGATATATTTCAAAGACCATTGTACTCAACCGCTACAGAAGCAAATAACATAAAGAAATAGAAAGGTTGATCTAACTATAAATTACAACATAAATGGTAGTGGAGGAACCATAATTTCACAAGCAAATCATGTTACCATATACTATTCTGTGTATACAATACTAATGGGTCAAATAAGGACTTTATGTAAGTTATACAAAATATTTTCACAAATATTCTTCTGAACATCTTATTGTACATTTTAATCCCTTTTTTAGATGAATCGTTGAAAAATAAACTATGCAAGGACTATGAACGATGAACCTACAAGCTACAAACTTCAATATTAATACTGAAAAAGGATGCATAGTTTGCAACAACAGATGGAGATAGTCCGAGAAACTTTTCAATACAAACTGCAGATTACACCATCAACAATCTTTCCATTTTAGCTTTATTTTTCAGTTTATTTAAAAATTATACAATATGGAATGTAGATATATTTCAAAGACCATTGTACTCAACCGCTACAGAAGCAAATAACATAAAGAAATAGAAAAGGTTGATCTAACTATAAATTACAACATAAATGGTAGTGGAGGAACCATAATTTCACAAGCAAATCATGTTACCATATACTATTCGTGTATACAATACTAATGGGTCAAATAAGGACTTTTATGTAGTTATACAAAATATTTTTCACAAATATTCTTCTGAACATCTTATTGTACATTTTAATCCCTTTTTTTTAGATGAATCGTTAAAAAAATAAACTATGCAAGGAATATGAACGATAAACCTACAAGCTACAAACTACAATATTAATACTGAAAAAAGGATGCATAGTTTGCAACAACAGATGGAGATAGTCGAGAAACTTTTCAATACAAACTGCAGATTACACCATCAACAATCTTTCCATTTTTAGCTTTATTTTTCAGTTTACTTAAATATACAATATGGAATGTAGATATATTTCAAAGACCATTGTACTCAACCGCTACAGAAGCAAATAACATAAGAAATAGAAAAGGTTGATCTAACTATAAATTACAAACATAAATGGTAGTGGAGGAACCATAATTTCACAAGCAAAATCATGTTACCATATACTATTCTGTGTATACAATACTAATGGGTCAAATAAGGACTTTTATGTAAGTTATACAAATATTTTTCACAAATATTCTTCTGAACATCTTATTGTACATTTTAATCCTATCAGCTACGACTTATTTACCAAAAACCATATCATATTTATAAGATATAAACAGTTTTGTTGACAAAAAATGTATGTCCATTTACGTTTTTTAGATGAATCGTTGAAAAAATAAACTATGTAAGGAATATCAACGATGAACCTACAAGCTAAAAACTACAATATCAATACTGAAAAAGGATGCATAGTTTGCAACAACAGATGGAGATAGTCCGAGAAACTTTCAATATAAATGCAGATTACATCATCAACAATATTTCCATTTTTAGGTCTATTTTCAGGTTATTTAAAATACTAAACAACAAAACAATATATGAAAAAGCAAAACCCCACTTGATTAATGAGCATCCAATATTAGATCACAAAATTACGAAAACGCTACATTTGGAAGGTCTAAAAATCTGGGATTATATGTTGTCTGCTATTTACCATAATGCTAATGTAAACAGAAACAGCTTGGAAAAATAAACCTTATAAAGAAGAAAAACTCGACTTAACCATAAACTGCAATATTAATGCTGAGAAAAAGACAACTTGGAAGCAAACTATAATAGGAAAGATGACAATCAATCATGTTTTCCAAAAACAGATGGAAAATGCAATCTATATCATCTGCATTTCTCCATTTTCAGGTTCTCTTTCAGTAAAATTAAAATTACAAAACAAAAGACACAACAGAAAGAAAATCCACTTAAATAGTGTTTACGCATTATTATAGCAAAACCATATATCTATACAATTACAGAATGGATACTAATGTCTGAAACATCTGACGTAAGTTTCTTTGATATAAGATATTGTTCTGAAAACATTCATGTACATATTTTAGTGGTATCAACTATATTTTTTCACAAACACAGATATTAATATTTCTAAGAATCTGACATTTTAACAAAAAGTCCTGCATTATAATTTTTTTTTTCAGATGACATGATGGAAAATGAAATCATATGAAAAAGGGATATGATCTACCTAGATAATTTTTGCAATATGAATACTGGAAGAAGAATAACTTAGGAAACATAGTCTAATGAGAAACAATAATAAACACTGGCAATCATTTTTGCGAAATAGATGGAAAATACAATTTTCCGTTACCAATTTTTTTCAGTATACTTGAAATTATAGAACAAGGAAACAAAAAAATCAATGAAATAAATAACAAACAAGAGAGCGAAGTACATTAGATGATACATTAAAGTTTTGGTAAATGGTTTTTTTTTGGTACAAATTAAGAAGCAAATTTAATGTATGCAAGGATTATAAAAACACCTAATTCAACAACCATTTACCATTTGTTCAATTAAATATTTATTTACTTATTTAGATTTCCTTTTTTTCAGATATATATTATTCATAGTCGTTTTGTATTTGTTTTCAATTTTGAATAATCAGATTTTACGTTTAATTTTTGTGCGTCTTACAGTTTCATTTTTTTTTCTTTTTGTAATAAGTATTATCATTTTATTGAACTGAAAGACGGGTGGAAGGAGGGTGGGACTCGACTTGCAGCTACCTCCGCGCGGTGAGTCCTGGGTAGTCGAACATGGACTAGCTGAGAGCTGCAAATTAATCCTTTTCATCTAACATTAATCAGTTACAGATCACTGTTTTAATTATTTCTGTTTAATGATGATAAATGTTGAAAAATGTTGATGTGAATTCTACTTTGCAACCTGTTCAGAAGTAGAAATTGTCACGCCACTATGGACGATCTCTCTACAAAGAAATCAACAATATTCCTCGCAGTCCCTGTCCGCTGTATTGATAATAAACTATAGATAAAGGATAACTTTAAAAGCAAACTTTAATGAAAACTAAAGGCAGTCAGGTAATTTTTTTTTTCCAAAAACAAAAACGAAATGCCACTTTACTAGCAATTTACTATATAATCTTGCCATTTCAGATTCTTTCTACAGTATATTTAAAATTGTAGAACACATAACTATATAAAGCAAAAACAGAGTCCACCTAAATAATATGTACCCATTATTATACTATTACTATGTACAACTACAATACTACAAAATTATCACATCAACATAGTAAAATCTGATAATCAAAAATTTTTATGTAAGTTATTTTAATACACATATACTCCTAGATATAATTTTATATTTAATAAATTTTTTTAGGCATTTAATATCTTCACGCTGATGTTAGATCCTAAGCGAATTATACTTCGACGATGA